CTTTGTTTTTCAAGAGCTTACATCCTTCCTCATCCACTTTATGGAACAACTAGCCTATTCTTTTGTTTGGATCTTTCCTTTGCTTCCATAAAAGCTGGGGGTTTTTTGTTTTTGTTTTGTTTTGTTTTACTAGTATTTTCATTAGGATATTCTTTTCTAGTACTATCTTCTTTTTTTGTTTGTGGAATCTGGGGAGGGTACTCTGGTGTGGATTTTAATAGGTTTGTTTTGAAAGAAAGTATGATTTGATAGCTGAGACTATGGGCTTAAGTTTTAGGTTCCTCTTATATAAAATACCAGCACCTACCTCAATGGTGTGTGAAAGTATAAATGGTCATATCAATATAACAATAACAAGTAAGTCATCAATCAGTTGCCTCTCTGAGTCTATCAAACATCTTATGATAGCTCTGAGTCTTTGCTTCTCCATAACAAACATCTCTAGATTCTTTAAGTATGTCTCAAATGGCATAGCTTCAAATTTCATTATATCTTATATCATATGCCTATGCATGAACTCTGGCAGGTCTGATTCTCAACTTAAAATGTGGGGGCCAGAATGGAACACAATACTCAGGTGAGGTCATAGGTTCTGAGTCTCCTAGGTTCTATTTACTTTTTTAGAAGCTTGACCATTCTATTGACTTGGGAAACCTCTATGACTTTCTCAGTTGTGCTGCTAAGACACATTCTCCATTCTGTCCTCACACAGCTGGCTTTTTTGGACACATACAATTATTCAATTAGTCCTATTACACTGGATAAATTCAATTAGTCTATTGTGAAGCTTAGATGGCTGTTTTGTCTTTCTGTAAATCTCTTTCTACCTTAATGTCCCTGCTAATTCGATCAGAATGCCATTAAGTTCTTATCCAAGTCCAAAGAGGACAAAGGCAAGGTAAGAATGCATTCATTTATCAGCCAACAGATTTATGAAGAGCATGCTACATGCTAGCACTGGGCTAGGTCCTAAGGATACAATGGAAAGCAAAAATTAGCATTCTCTGATCTTACAAAATTTACCCACGGGGGGGGGGGAAAATTAATCAAATAATCACTATAATTATTGTATTAGAAACTGAGTATGTGCATCAAAGGATAAGAATGTGGTTCTAAGATAGCTTATAACCAAGTAACATGACTCAGGCTAGGGTCTTAGGAAAAAGTAACACCGAAGGTTGAGCAGGGTTTGCTAAGTGAGAAGGTAAAGGGGGATAAACCAGACGCAGGGTATAGAAGAGCACTATGCTATTAGAAAACTTTCTTCAGGTTATTAGTTAGTAGGCTACTTAATTACACTACGGTATATCTTCCATTTCTCCGCCTTATCTCAAAGTTTATTTTGAATGATGGACTGACTATACAAGGCCAAGCTAAAGTCTAACTCATTAATCAGTTCTCAAAGAATCCACTCTCTTGAAACCAGGAACATTTGCCTAACTCAAGCTTATTCACAACATTACCACTTATATCTGATCCTTCAAAGTCAACGACCCTGTCTTCAAAACATCATCTCTAAGTATTCTTCACAGTCAAGATGTAATTTATCAAAACCAAGACCTCAGAATTAATTTAACCAACTAGAATGGATATTTTTCAAAGGGTGATCCAAGGACTAGCTGCATCTGAATTACTTGAGGTGCTTATTAAAATGCAGATTCCTGGGCACCATCCCAGACCAACTTAGAATTGACAAGGCGCAGGAATCCACATTTAACAAGGACCTCAAGTGATTCTTCCACATTGTTTGAGAATCCCTGAATTAGTTGTATTTTCACAGCATCGACACTCATGCAGAGCTTCTCTAATATTTAATCTCCCTGAGTCTGAAGTGCTTTTCTCTTGGAGTAGTCTGGCAAAGAGAAAGCAGGTTTTTGGAGTCAAAATACCCGGAATCAAACGTGGTTAATATTTCCAGGCTTCAGTTTCTTCATTGATAACATGTGGATAAGAATATCTGCTTCTTAAGGATGTTGCTTCAATTAAACAGGAGAGTGAGAACAATGATAGAGGAAGCCTATCATTCTTTGGAACATTTATTGAGGCCTACATACCAATTATTACAATATGAATAAAACATCATCAGGTAATGTGCTGCATGCCATGTATACCAGGATAAAGGAAACATTCCCATCTCATTAATTTGTTGTTTTTTTGCACCTGTCCCTTTGTGGTTAAGGTATAACATTTTTTGAGGCTTTTCCAACCCTTGTGCTATTTTCTGTTAACAGAGTCCCATGAAACCATGTAGATTTTCACCTATTGAACTGTCTGAAGCCTTCTTACCACTATATGTATGCTCAAGTCCTAAAACTCTAGCATGGCCTCAATTTGACTCTTCTTTTCCAGCCTCATCTCTCACCCATTACCCCTGAGTTAGAGTCCCTAGGATCAAATGTCGGGTCTGCTTCTTATTAGTATAAGGCCTTGGTTAAACTCTGTGCCTTAATTTCTTCATCTGTGAAACAGGGGTAATAAGAGGACACATTTCACAGGGATTTTAGGAATATGAGATGATTATTTAGTAAGTACTGTGTTAGCTATTCTCATGGTCACACTGCACCCACACTAGCAGCTGCTTCCTCTCAGTTCTCCGAAGGCTCTAAGCTCCTTCTGACCTCAGGATTTTCACTATCTCCTCTGCCTGTAATGCTTTCTACCTCTTCTCATGGCCAACTTTCACTCATTCTTCAGGCTTAAATGTCATTCCTCTGAGGCAGCTTTCTGATTCATCCCTGCCCCCACCACTTAACAAAGTAGGTTAAGAACCCCTGTTAAACAATCATCCACTCTGTATTTTTCCTTTGCAGCACTTATCATAATTCGATGTTTGTTTATTCCATTAAAATAAGGAACATGTCTGTCTCACACTGCTCCATATCCACCCTGATAATTAGCACAATTCTGAGTCCACAGCAGCACTCAAAATATTTTAAGTATTTGATGAACGATTTCTTAAATCTGACTATGCCCAATCATTCCCTCTTGGGATTGTAACAACCTCTAAAAGTCAGTTACTTTTCTGCCCAGAGGCAGAAGACCTCTTCACTCCCTTTACCTCCCGAGATAAAATTTTCGGAAACGTAAATCAAGAACTTAACAAATGCTTAACTTTTGGCTGACTCCCAGGAGTGTGTGTCTTGACTCCAAGCTACTTTATATCTGCACTGTTCAATATGGTAGCCGCTACCATATGGGGCTACTGAGCACCTGAAATGTCGCTAGTCCAAAATGAGATGAGCAGAAGTGTAAAATACACATTGAATTTTAAAAACCTGATACAAAAAAAGAATGTTAACTATCTGATAATTTAAAAATATTTACTACATTAAAATAATATTTTGGAAATAGGGTTAAATATATTACTAAAATTTTTACCTTTTTAAATGTGGCTACTAGATAATTTAAATATATGGCTTGCATTAGATTTCTACTGGGCAGTGCTGTTTTAGACTACTTACCTTAAAGGTATGTTGTATTTCCCTGTAATATCCCTTTAGTTCCTCTCATTTTAATCCATAACAAAACATACTACAAATTTGTTCACGGTTTTTCTCAATCCTGATATTTCTGATGCCTAGGCTATTCTATCATCCCTGTGAACATGTCTTGATTTTTTAAAATAAGGCATAGTTTCCTACTTAATCTTGAGTCTCATCACATCAAAGCCCAATGAACTGGAGATTTAATATCCTGTGGCTACTTAATTATTTATATTATAAACATTATGGTTAACACAAGATCTGGAGCCAGGCCACCTGTTTCGGAGTCCTGGCTCTACTACTTACTAGCTGTGTAACTCTGTTGCTCTGAATATCTCTGTGCCTCAGTTTCCATTGAAAAATGGAGTATTAGTGTCTACTTCATAGGGCTGAAAGCATTAACTGGTATTGGTGAAGTGCTCAGAATGGTGCCTGGCATGCAGTAAGCATTCAGTAAGTAATGACTATTATTTGTGTCATTATACACACCCCTCACCCTTCTCGCCTACTCATATATTCTAATATTGGGACACCTCTCCTAGTGATGTTGTTCCTTACAAATATGAGCGATTTTATGCTCAAGAGCTTCTAACTCCAAAACCCTGCTACTTCTCAGTTAAGTAGCACTTGGGTAAGGTACTTAACCTCCCTCATTTTTCAGTTTCCTTATCTGTAAATGAGAATGGATATTGCCATCTTCCTTGCAAAAGTTTGATTAACAATGTATTTGAAATTTCTTGCATGTCCTTATATGCACTTCCTATTTTAATACATGCGATCCTCACAACACACCTTAAGATAGGTATTTTATGAAGGGAACAGGGTCTGGGAAGTCAAGACCTGCCCGAAGTTGAACAGATAGCTAAATAAAAGCGCCAAATTGGAACGAGGTTTCACTCCGAGTCAAAAATTTTCTCAGAAAACAAAAGCTGCTTTCCCAAAGCAAGAGCGCTAGAACTAAATTATTCATGCTATTTATGGGGTCACAATGTTTGGAGAAATACAGAAACTGACAAAGTATACATTGCCCGGTTGCTCGTTGAAACTGCAACAGAAAATCAAAATACATGTTTTCTTAATACCATTATTAGGTCAAAGAACCTGACAGCCCTAGAGTCGGCGACTTGGATGAAATTTCAGTAAACAAAACGACGAATTTCTCCTCCAGCCCCCGAAGAAATTGTGGACCACGGGGAGGAGGTTCATTTATCGAGCTTTCAGGGATGGGCCAGTCCCCGCCCCAGGCTACGCGGCCTGGTCGCCCCCAGACCCGGAGGAGGCCACAGCAGCGCCTGGTCGCAGGACCCTCCCTCTCGGATCTCAGGAACCAGCGCTGCGCCCGCCCGCCCCTCACCTCTGGCTCCGGGCGCTCCGAGGCCATCACACAGCCTTCCAGCACCGGCCCAGGCCAGAGAAGATGTTCCACTCTTGACCCCTGACCCGGCTACCTCGCACCCGGCAGGAGCCGGAAGTGAGTGGGCGGGCCGAGTTATGAGCTCTCTGATTGGTGAACGAAGCCCTCTCAGAATGACTCGCTGACTTGGAAACCGGAAGAGGAGGTCGTAGCCGCCGCTACTGCTGCCGCTATGCAGGTAAGAACCCAGTTGGGGCTGTGGATTGCCAACTAGCTTTGAGTAACGGGACCGGGAGTGGGCAGCTGAGAATAGAGTGAGGAGTTGGGGCTGAGGGGAGAGGGCAGAGCCCGAAGCTAACGAATAGGGAACGCGGGGTCGGGAGGGGAGGCCTACGGGAGAGGAAGAGACGGAGATGAGAGATGGGCTGGGAGCCCGGCTCACAGAAAACAGAGATTGCAACTAAATCGGGAGGAAGGAGGCAGTACTGACGTGCTGGGGT